CAGCAGACCATCGCGAGTCGTATACCGATCCAGAGAGGAACGGTATAGAGCCGGTGAATCCGACAAGGATTTCCGGGATGGGCTCGCAAGTTGATCCATTAAACGGATGAAATTCGTATCTCCTGCGTACTCCTTCCGCACATCGTCGAGTAAAGACTACGACGGCACGCTGACTCACAGCGCCGCAATAGTGGGCGAGGCCTCACTGTTGACGTGTGTAGTCGGCTCAAAACAGGCCGGAGTGATAGCGCATCAGCGAAGACGTTCAGTCGTCCTGGTTTGTACACCACGGAGAAATTATACTCCGCGAAGAAAGCCAACCACCTCGCCATTCGTTGCTAGAGGTGGGGACTGTTTACGGCCGTGCTTAGTGACGCATGGTCCGTATAGACAATGAACGGTCTATGTCCCAAGAGATAGACGCGGATCTTAGCCAGTGCGTACTTCATGGCAAGGAGTTCCTTTTCATACACTGGGTAATTACGCTCAGCTGGTTGCAGATGACGCGAATGATTGCAGACGACGCTCTCCGCGCCATCTGTGTCAAATTGCATCAACGCACAGCCTATCGCAAAATCGCTGGCGTCACAGACCACATGGAATGGTCTGTCCTGATCTGAAATCGCCAAGATGGGCGATTGCATCAGGCTTTGCTTGATACCTTCGAAGGAACGCTGACAGTCAGCGTCCCATGTTCGCGTCAAATTTATCTTGAGCAAACACGAAATATGAACAGTCATCTCGGCGTAGTTGGACGAATACTTGTGCAAGTACGCCGCTAGGTCAAGGAACTTACGAAGTCCCTTGACATCGACTGAGACTGTACAGTCAGTGATCGCCTTGATCTTTTCGGAATCGGGGCGTACACCGTGTTTACCCACGATGCACTCAAGAAGAGGTATTTCGCTAGCTGCGAATATAAACTTCTTGAGGTCGGCGTACAACTCGTGCTTATGCATAAGTTGAAGAACCTGACGAACGTGTGTTCTGTGAACTTCCACGTCTGTCTATCCATTCATATCCTGGATATGAACGAGCACATCGTGAAAGTAACTCGGTGCAAAATCCCGCACCGGTCTTAACAGATTTGTTACACATCTGTTGAATGTTGCAGGGGCTTTACTCAGCCCCTGTGGCATCAATAGCCAGTCCCAAATCATCCCGATGAGGGTGCTCACCGCTGTGTACAGGATGTCCCGTTCACGCATGAGGATCTGATAGAAGACATCCATCAGATCTATGGACGAGAAGATGGTACTCAAAGACACATCCTCGATGATCACGTCCTTCCTCGGTATCGGCGTCTGAGCCGGTACCGTTGCAGCATTCAACTTGTTGAATGCGTGCAATATCCGCCATCATCCTGTGACCTTTCGCACACAGAAGGTCCGAGAGCTGTGAGGAGATGTTGATTTCCTCACATGGCCTGCGGCCAAGCGATCAGTAAAGAAATTATCGATCTCTGGTACTTGTTCACGATGCACCGGCCACTGCTTCATGACACAATACTTCGAGACCGATTTGACCTCGATCTCGTGTCGAGTGCCTTTATCCTTAGGCAACTCGAAAGGCACGGATTCAGGGAATAAGTCTTTTAATTCGATCAAATCTTTACACAAAGGATTTGCCTGAAGCGACTCCCAGGATTGAGATGCATATCTCTCAATCCGAGACTTCTCATCGATTACACTTTCGTTCATCGATGAACTGCTGAGAACCCGTTCTGTCTCAGTAAACACCATTGTCGATCTAATATCGGTGACGTACTCGTCCTCCGCGACGAGTACACAGATCTGCTTTACTTTGCCAATACGCAGATCACGCAAGAACCGTTTCGGTTCTAGCGTCGGCAATTGAGTTATCTCCGAAGTTAAATTCGGAGGCACTATTAGATCAAGCGTGTAAGCGCCTACGCTTGATCCGTCATTAACCAAGACATTCACTGTCTCGATTAATTCTTGGGATGTCACATCCACAGGATGTTGGGGATCTTTCTCCACAATGTGGTGATTATCTACATTGTGTTCTTGTACAGTCGTACTAACGACCGTACCGCAAGTGAGACCATCGCACTCACTCACAGTACACTCACGTGAATGTGGGCGTTCCAAGATATTCTTCAGATGTCCATCTGATGAACAAGTGGCAGGCATCGTTACTGAGTGATGCCGCCAGCTCACTCTTGGATCTTATCTCCTGAGCCAAGGTAGTCCTAGGATGGCATCGAACTTGTCATCCAGGTCGAGTACGATGGAATTGTCATCGCAATGTTCGTCTTGTAACGTATAGTGGATGCCCAATACACGTTTCTCAACGGTTATCGATGCGCCTGTCGCAAGGCGCACCGTCATTCTCGTTGGAGGGATCTACCGCTCCACGAAGTTGATACTTCCAGCCTCTAGTGACTGGCGACGAACAAAATTGTTCAACACCCCACAGTCAACTAGAACGCGAAGTGACAAGTCCTTTGTCACTTCCAATATCAAGGTGATAAGGGACACTTCATCACCAGGTGCAGAGACACTCAGAGACTGTGTGTCTGGAGCAACCTTCGTCAAGAGATTTGCAAATTCGCTTGATGTCTCTAGATCAGTAGGGCGCTTCGACCCTACTGGCCCCGCCTTTTTTTTGATGTTCCGCCTCGCTGTTGACGCCTTGCAACAGCATCAGATCCTCGACATCCAGTTCTTCTAACTGGTCGACGAGTACTGCGCTCAGCACCGCGAGGTCCTGAGCGAGAGGTACTGCATTCGTATGCGTTGTGTCCCAGTTTATGAGTGCGATGGCATCTCAACAATCTCTTTTCGTTCACAGGGCGAGATTTCGCGCCCTCAACATTACAGAGGTCCATTAATTCTGTGCCTCCGACGGCCGGTAGTCTTTGTGGACGATAGGGTGTAAGAGTAGTGCGAGCCTGTCTCACACTAAAGTCTTCCTGCTCCGCAGCGTAGATCGATTCGGAGAGCGTCTATAGCTCTCCGCGTAACATGTGGTCCCTGACGGGACCATCTGAAAGTCCTTGAATGAATACTGTGATCAACACAAATCCACTCACAGAGTTCACTACCATGCAACTTGCAAGGTAGCGTACATGTTGGTCGTAAGCGTGAACCTTACGCTTACCCTGCTTAATCTCAAGGAGTTCAGATAGAGTTCTGAACTCTGCTCTGGGTGGCTCAAACGTCTCACTGAGCAGGGTCTTGAAGACGTCCAACGACCCGAATACATTCGGGTCGTGTAACTTGAGATTCAGGGCCCAATTCCTGGCTTCCCCTGCCAAATACTACTGATCAAATGCGACTTGTATTCGCTCGTTGTCGATGCAACGGGCCTCAATGGCACCGTCGACTTCAAAGAACCATCTCGACAGGGAGTCGTTCTCGACTCCCCGATACTTGGGTATCTCTAACCTTAGAGACTCCTGTCGACGCTCACGCGTCGAACTTGCGGACTGAGACTGATGCTGTCTCAGTTCTTCCGTCCGCTGGTGATCTTGTCGTTGCAACAAGGTCACCTGCGCTCGCGACTCGTCAAGTTCTCGCTGCAAGAACTTGCCAATGACGGAATGATGCTGTTCTCTGTCCCTTGTAGATAGCATGACCCAGATAGCTTCCTCGCCAACGGTCGAACTCATTCGTTCGATCGCCTTCCATTCGACATCGCTCAAACAGGAGTAGCTTTCACGGGTTCCGTGAAATCTGTCGCCTTCGACTTCGTCCAACATGTTCATGTTAAGCGATGTGAGTGTGGTTCTTGGACGGACTACAAAGTGCTACCAAGTGTAACGAGGCACTGGTGACAACGTACTGGACTACCAGTACGGATTTATCCTTTCACTGACGACAGTGAAGGTCAGTGCCCAGCTAGGTGCAAACGCTTTCACAGATAAAGATAACGACTAAGGTAAAGACTCTAGTCATAGTAAAAGTGAAACCGGCATTTTATATAGTTAAGCCCGATCAATCTTGTTTCTCTGTTCATCCTGACTCAGTAATATTCATGTGACTAAACGTATGATGACGCCTACTCACCACCCATTGCGCGCGATTAATAAGTTGATATTATCACGATATCAGCCAATGAGTAGACCCTTCGGTCACCTTCAACAATACCATCATGCTCTGTGATATTGTTGAAAGAATTTTCAACATAATATTCTTTATTGCCATTTTAGCCTTAATGACAATATTTTGTAACGGGCTACCCTGTTACATCTACCTTCCTACTACATTGATGCGATGTCATCGTCTCTTAGAGTACTGCAGCAACCTCCCTCTGGGACTTCACAGTCTGTTTACATCAATACCACTTTCCCATACTGGGACTTTACAGTCTGCTGATAACATCCATCGAATCCTTCTGTAGTACGCGACGGACGCTCACCTTCCAACTTCCAACCGTCTGGAAAACCTTGTCGCTCCACTTGTGTACTTTCCACAACATGACCGACTGAGCGCGTTCTTTACGAGTTGTGGACGTCTGTGTACTACTCTATCAAAGCACGGATAGAGATGTCTCCTGGTCACTCTACATATGCTGAACTTTTACATTGGGTTTGCTGTCCGAGAGCGTCGACTTGTCATGTTACATACTAGATAACAATTTGACGGCAAAAACGTACTCAGTTTACCTTGTGCCACAACAAAGACATATCTGCACGAAATACACAGCTGAAGGAGGTTCAGCTGCGCTTCGATTGTTCAGAACAGCACCAATCATGAACACTCGCGTCATCAAGCTGTCGTGTCATGCGTTCACGAACAAGCAGCAGACATCTTGAGCCCTACAAAATCAATTTCTAAACCGAAAAACGTTTATGACACTCATTGTAGAAAAACGCTTTTCGTTTTAGAAATTGGTACATCAAAATATACGCTTTTGTGCTCGACGGTTTTGGGTTTTTCAACTACTTCTTCCACCCAACTCCAGCTTTTTCCATATCTGGGTGCAAACCAAACGATTCACGCGCGACAAGAAGCTGCACGAACGACTGCGTGTACATGCAATCGGTCTCGGACCCCGAGGCGACGCAGCAGCACTGGGCGGGCGCAGAGCTGCTGGTGTGTGCTGTGATCCAGCTACTGCTAGTGAATGTCGCCTACCGCATTGACTGCATGCGTGAGGCGCCGCTGCTGTCGACGTCGTCGTGGGCCATTTTCTGCGGCCTCGTGAGTGGCGCGCTGCTCGCGCTTGTGTCGAAGAAGGTGTGTGTTTTTCATGTGTACCACATTGCAACAATGAACGTGAGGTCGAAGGCACAGATTGTTTGAAACAATATTTGTTCATGTCGGTCCTGTGCTTTTGGCAGCGCGTGTACGACGCTGGACTGGACCCGCAGATTCTCTTTTTAGGCCTCGTGCCACCCATTATCCTCGATGCAGGGTTTAACACCCAGCGAAAAGGGTTTTTCAGCAATTTCTCGGCGATTTTGCTGCTGGCGATCGTCGGCACGTTAGTCGCAACGTTTGCCACTGGTGGGATCCTCATCTGGCTGGGCCACATGGACATTATCACGCAATTGACGTCCGCCGAAGCGTTTCTGTATGGATCGCTGATCTCGGCCATTGATCCCGTTGCGACGCTCGTTGTGTTTCGGAAGTGTCGAGCGCCCTCGATGCTGTTCAACCTCGTGTTTGGCGAGAGTGTGCTGAATGATGCAGTAGCAATTGTGGTCTTTACGCTGTTCCAGAATCTCATCAACGGTGGCAATTCGGACGTGACTACTCAAGTAGCTGTGGGCATGGTGTCTAGTTTGATGGGCATTATTGTGGGCTCGGTCGCTCTATCTGGCGTCATTTGCTACTCGTCCGCCTACTTCTTGCGGCACTCGGATCCAGCACTGCGTCAGTACCCAATGTACGAGATGTCCATCATCTTGCTCAGCTGCTACGCGAGTTATTTGGCAGCTGATGTTTTCAAGCTCAGTGGACTACTGGCCGTGTTCTTTAGTGGCGTGTTTATTCGGCACTATCACATGTACAACATCTCGGAAACCAGTGCGTTTGCGTTCAGGCAATTGCTCTCGACGATGGCGTTTCTGGCTGAAAACTTCATCTACTTGTACCTCGGGTTGAGCGTCTTTGCGTACCAAGATTCACTAGTTTGGGACTGGGGGTTCATTCTTGCCACCTTTGGTGTCTGCCTTGTAGCAAGAGCGTTCAACACGTTCCCGCTATGCTTCTTGGCCAACTGCAAACGCACGAAGCAACAGAAGATTCCGTTCAAGTACATGGTCGTGATTTGGTTTTCGGGGCTGCGTGGTGCCATCGCCTTTGCTCTGGTGCTCAACGTGTCGACTGGCAATCCCGTGCACGCGGCAATTCTCAAGAGCTCGACGCTTTTCCTGGCGCTGTTTACAACGGTCTTTTTCGGTATGGCGACGGGTCCACTACTTCGCGTTCTGAAGCTCACGGGCGATCTGGAGCAGGATATGTCTACCAAAGAGGACGTCGACGTCGTCGATGCTTCTGCTGAGAATGAAGCGCTCGTGAGCGCACCACTGTATCCGCCAGACTCGTGGAGTGTGCACAGTAGATGGATTGAGCTCGACGAGAAGTACCTGAAGCCCATCTTTGGTGGGAAACCTCGTTGTACAAGAAAGGATGCCGACCAAGCGACGTATGCGTCGATCGAGAATGAGAGCTAAGCGCAAGTTGCCGTGCTTCCTGCCAAGACCGTATAGGATATGTGTTGCCCTGAGGGCAAGCAATTCTATGACCGAGAATTGATGGGGTAAGTGGTGGTGTATGAGTGATGTGGCAGTCGTGGCTCACTGGTGAGTAGGCAAAGGACTTTGCGCTGCGAATCTGGGTGTACTGGTCTGGGCGTACTGGTAAGTCCTGACGCGTTGTTGAATGCATACCGACGCGCGACGTCTGTCGACTTCTGACCGTGTGTGCTGTCAATCGTCTACAATTGCGATTTGTTGCTCGATCTTGTCGTGTTTGCCCTCTGTCCCGGTAGATCTACAAGTGTTGAACGAGAGGTCAAGTGACGTATCTTGTGCTGATGCCTATTGATATGCTTTCTCTGCAGTTTCGATAGTGCTAATCACCTGCTGTCGTGCACTAGAAACATCCTCTGACAAGTCGGTGTCGCCAGAACAGGTGATGGCATGTGGGCTACTGCAGCCTCGCACGTCTCGATTGACGTTGCAGATGCTTGCATGCGACAACAAGAACAAGAAGGGTACGCCTGTACGATGGAAGATGCATGACGCGCGAAGTCAACCGGAATTGAGCTCGCTCGCTGAGAGCGTGCAGATTTGTGTCGTATTCGTCTCCTTCATGATCGAGTGTGAACTGCCTGACAGCGTCGATATCGCTGTGAACGAGGTATCTTCTTGGCGCTTGCTCCTCTTTGATGTACCGCCGTCACTGCATCATCAGCGCCTGCTTCAACCGCTCGCGTTTGTTGCGGCTGGTCGATGCTTTCGCCAGGTGTACGAAGATTGAGCAGCTTTGAGCTACTTATCCAGGCTCGCTTCATCCCTGGACACTTCGAGCCAGCAATGCTTGATCCATTAGCCACTACTGGTTTGTCTCGATTCAACATGCTCGTCTGGCAAACCGATTCCGACCGATAAAAGGGTTCACAGAAGTACATCATAGGACAGTGAGGTCTAGACTTTGGACGAGCACGACGCTTGAAGCTGACGAAGGCCACCAAGTCTACTGTATGCCAGCATTGCAATGGTCTCGTAAGCGAACGATGAGTCCGTAACAACGCTCCAGCTGTCTGCCTGAAGCGTTTTGCTCAGTGCTCAATTCAGCGGATGATCGAATAGCATGTACACTATCGAGGGAAATCCATCATGAGCTGATTCTAGCTTACTGCAACCTTTCGATGGCTTCTGCGAGTTTAGCTGGGTGATTCGGGCTGCGTCTGTAGACCTGCTGGTCAAAGTGGTAAGCGCTGGGAACTCTGTCGCACATCAGCTGAACAATGTCGTCAGCTCATATAGCAACTGTTGGTTCGTGGCGCTAGAATGTCATGTCCATGCTCCCTCCTGCCGGGCTTGTCGACGCTAACCCCTCGGCAAGCAAGCCGCGCCACCTCGACAAATGACGGGTGTGCGAATTCGTTCTTTAGTCCGACACAGAACTGTCGCTTGCTATTCATCACTGGTCAAACAAGTAACAGACAAACTACTACTGTTGCTGCCCTGCTTTGAGAAGGTCAGCAATGTTGCAATCTGAAAGCTGCAATGGCATTGCAGTGTGAAGCAGAGGCGCTTCGATGCGACGTCTTGACGTCTTTGGCGTCTTGACAAGTTTTTCCGAATATCACTGATACTTTCATTACAAAGCTCTGACACACAAGAGCGCGTGTCACAAGTGATTGACTTTTGTCTCTCGACACGACGAACGCGGACAGACTATTCGCTGCAAGTTAGCGGCGATCTGTCCGCTTTCGTCATGTCGCTGCCAATGTCCTACGTATGGCCTACCACTGATTGTCAAAGGAAGGCATCAAGAGAGAACACAAGCAACACAAATGTAACTTGGTCAACATTATCACGCTAGTGTCGAGCGAGTACCTGTGTGTCGCTTGTAATCGTTCTTGATGCATTCCTTTTCGTGTTCTCTCTTGATGCCTTCCTTTGACAACCAGTGGTAGGCCATACGTAGGACATTGGCAGCGACATGACGAAAGCGGACAGATCGCCGCTAACTTGCAGCGAATAGTCTGTCCGCCTTCGTCGTGTCGAGAGAGAAAAGTCAATCACTTGTGACACGCGCTCTTGTGTGTCAGAGTGTTGTAATGCAGACTTCACACTTTTTTCTCACAATGTCCCCAAGTACAACTTGAGCATGGAAGCGCTCAGAGACCGCGGACACGGTGCAGTATAACTCTTGCGGCAAGAACGAGTCGAGTCGTACTATGTAGTGTCTCAGCTCCTTTCACTGACTCTTTTGGACGAAGACCGGTATCACGTGGACTCGTTATCGAGTCGAATTGCTGGGGAATGTAAATAGCGTCAAGCTGGTGCTCAGTCGACTTGACCGCCATCGACTCGTCGATCCGTTATCCGCTTCGGTGGTCAACAAGAGTGAGCAAGCAAAGGGTTTGCACATCAATAGATTGTATCCGACAACGCAAGGCGGTATCATTGTTGAAATGACAGTCGCCGTCCGCGCTAGCGTTGCCATTTGTTCGACGCAGTTGAGGACGCTGTAGTCTGCTGAATGACCAGCCTCGTCATGACTGATGATGGCACGTTATAGTCACTAACGCTGCATCGCGATCATGGAAGCAGAAGGACCGACGATGTATCAGGCCTTTAGTATGGGCGTGTTGCACTGACGCGCAAGTGGTCGATTTGGTCCAGACTAATCACACGAGCCATTATTGTATTGCACACATATTTTTTTGCTCCCGAAAAAGGAACCGAGGGACCAATTTTCCAGCCGCATGTACCGATCGCATCACATCTGCCGAAAGGCTGTTTGGCAGGAGGTATCCAGGTGGCGTCATCGTGCCTCTCACGCGTACTATCGCATGCAAAGATGTCACGAGAAGCGACCATTCTGTTTAGCTGCAGCTCGCTCCCGACTGCGACGCTCTCTCCTCCAGCTGTGCATGGCGTTCCCGTCGCCGTGCAAAAGGCAAAAGCTCCGATCGAGCAGGGACCCCTTAGCTGCAACGAACACGTGGGGGCAGATGCGATGCGACTCGACTGGTGTCACGTCTCGTGTTCGGTTCGCGCGTGCGTGCGTTTGGACGAGAAACGCACGGGCTCTGCTGCAGTGACGCACATGGCTTGAGCACCGAGCTGGAGCTAGCGGCGTATTGACGAGGCGGCGATGGACGAGGCGGCGACCGTCGTACACCAAGACGAGGCAGCCCGCCAGCTTCCTCAAGTCTTGGCACTGCCGAGAGGATGTGACGCCATTGTCGCAAAGGCCGAGAAACACCACCACCACCGCAAAGTGCGTGGCCCGTCAGACAGGACGGGCGCGCACGGCTCGTAACGTTTTCGACTAAACGGTGGACGTGATCATCGCCACGCCGCGTGATAGAAACGCTGCGGCCCGGAGCGGACTCACGGATTGGTGACGGCGGCGGTTATCCTTCTCGGTCCATCTCCGTTTCGTGCATGGCCTTTGTTGGCAAAAAAGGCTCAATCGAGACTGATTGACTTGCAATATGCCGCGACGGCTCCCGGTCGAGCCGCACTGCTACATTGTGGTCGATAAGTCGTCGATGGCTACATCGCGAGGAGGCCATTCCACCAGCAGCGGCGCTTTTTTCTCGTTGCTGCGTTGCGTCGTTGGACAGTCGGTCAACTCGTCGTGAGTGGCGAGCTCAAGTTGGTTGGTCGCAGTGGTAGTGCCGACGGCAACGACTTCGTCCCTCGCGACAGGAACAGCAGGCGCGGTCGGCCGGGCGGGACCGCGTAGAGCGTTGTAGCACATCCGAGGGAGTGTGCAGGCGAGCGCGGATCCGGTTCGGTCCGCATGCTGGCGACGCGAGGCGGCCGCGCGCGGGTGTGCATCTCCTTGACCAGGATAGACTGTCTGGCCATCTCTTTGGTCGCGTCCCTTGCCCCGTGAGTGCCACGTAGCGGTCGTTCGAATTCGGAGAGCCTCTCTCGTGCGCGCAGTCCAACTCGCTAGCGGCCACGCGCGCCTTTGACTGCAGCGTGTCGGCCGACCGATCCCATCCGGTTCTTGAGCGGCGGCCTGCGCGCGGACCACGTACTACTCGGCGACGGGATCCCGACCCGACCATATCATGTCTCGTCGTCGTCGTCGCTGTCGTTGTCGCTGTCGTCGCATCGCATCGCAACGCAAAGATTTGTTTCACGCACGGAAAGGGGGCGGGCAGAAGCCGTGTGTGGGGACTCGCTCTGGTGTGCTTACTCGTCTTTTTTTGCCAGTACGTCATCAGCCAGGCCTGGCGCTGCATGCATAGGTTCAGCAGCATCCTCTGTCTTTATTCAAGTGAAGAGGTCCGACTTTGACTGACGTGCGACCGCAACACCACACTCTCCTCTACCACTTCCAATAAGGTTCTTCTTCTTCTTCAATGCAGCAGCAACCAGCGCCGCTTCCACGACGACCGCTGCGCCAACGGCCACGTGCCATAGTTTACATTTCGTCCGTATAACTTCGATATAGATAGGTACACTGCTCGCCTTAGGCCACTCGCAGTCGCTTCGTCCGTGGCTCGCTACTGCTGCTGCTGCTGCTGCTACTGCTACTGCCCTCGTCCGTCGTCGTCGTCGTCTCCTTGTCGCTGCTCTTGCTCTTGGCCAGCGCAGCGTCGGCCGACGCCGCCAACTCGGTGAAGCTGTCGCCGTTCGAGTGCATCATGAGCGCGTTGAGCACGCACGGGTACTGGCTCTGCTTGGCGTGCGCGGCGATCTGGCTCAGCGTGACGTTCACGACGGCGCGGACCGTCTCGCGGCCGACGCACGTGTTGAGGATCTGCTCCTTCAAGAGCGGTCGGTGCTCGTGCTTGAGCAGCAGCGCCGAGTTGAGCGTCCGCACGGCGTAGCTGCCGGAAAAGGCCTTGCGGAACTGGAAGCGGCACGTCGGACACGTGCTGCGGAGCTTGAGCCACGAGCGGATGCACGGCAAGTGGAACTGGTGGCCGCACGGCAGCGCCACGAACTCGTCGACGCTGCTCTGGAGCTGACTCAGGCAGATGACGCAGTCGTCGGTGGTCGACGGGCAAGACGAGACGCGCGAGATGGGGCGCTTGGCGCCTTTGCTGCTGCTGCTGCACTGGTGGTCACTGTTGCTGCTGCTGCTGTTGCTGCTGCTGCTGCTGCTGCTGGTGGTGGTAGTAGTGGTGCCGACGGTCCAGGAGAACAGACTGTCCATGACCGACTTGTCGGCAGGGGCCGCGTTCTTGAGGTGCGGCGAGATGTAGCGCACCATGAAGCGCACCCACGCGGGCGTGCGGAACATCTGCAGCACGTCGCGGATGAGCGCGTGCTCGGGCGCCACGTACTGCACTTCGACGCGAACGGTAATGTCCATGCTGTGCTCTCTAGTGACGACACTGCGTGCGCAAGAAGAGGTCGAGACGAAGTAGAAGAGGTGGCGGAGGTAGAAGAGGTCGTCGAGGAGGTCGAGGAGGAGAAATCGCGGGGACAGAGAGAACCGGGTGGTCACGTGCGCGCACGAGTGTCTGCGCCACGGCAAATGGTCGAATGAGCACATGAACGCGAGTAGCGCCGCGGGAGCGAGACGGCGGGCCGGCGGGTGGGCGAGCGAGCAGGCGGGTGGGGGGCAGGCGGGCCGTTCGAAAAGAAAAGGCCAGCGAAGCCGCCTGCCAGTGTCTCTGGACCTCGCTCCCCCGCGAGCGCCCTAGCCCGCGCCAAAAAAGCAACACCGCGAACGGGGCGAGAGCCGGGCGGGCGCTTTTCCCGTCGGTCTCCAGTGAGTCAAGTGGTGAAAAACATGCACTTGGCGTACGAGACCCCACGGGCCGACGAAACGGATTAGGTGATTGCGCAGGGTGACCGCGCAAAGGCTTGGAAACGAAATTTTCTTTGTTGACTTGGGGGCGATAGAGACGGACGGACGGAGGCGGGGGCGTGAAGGGACACTGTCCCGGCCGAGATGAGTGAGAGACCTAGCAGCGTAGGAGCGGGCGCTTGATCCAGCGCGCAAATCGCTGATGCGCTCCTCATCACGAGAACGCGTGCCGTAGCAGCAGGGCAACCCGAAGGCTCCAGCGCGCGGAAATGCGCGGCCGAGGCGCTACAACACGTTGCAAGCCGTTAGACACCGCAAGGCGACTTCTTTTTGACGGTCGACCACCGCTCGTAGGGAAGTTTTGCTGATCAGCCAGCCAGCCGTCTGCGGACAGGCGCGTTGAGAAGAACGCCGCAAGTTACACATGCAATTTACATACGCACAATCCATCGCGTGCCATTCATTTCACGCGAGATTTTAAGCACAAGTAACTGGGAGCACCCAGTGGGAGCGGGCGACCTGATACAGAAGATTGGTTCATTACTACGATCTTTGCTCGTCTCGGCCGTCGACTCCACGGCTTTACGCCCTCACCCCTCAACACTATTGCGACGACGAGACGGTGGTCCAGTGGTCGGTGAAGCGGACGGTCATTCCGAATCGCAAACCCGATTGTCTCCACAAGTCAGCGAGTGACGCGCGCGCGCTCGAGCCGTCAGTCTGGGCAGGAACTCACCTTGCGCGTACTGGCGGCAGCGACGTCACATTGATAGGTCTCGATGACACTGAGGTGATCGCGATGGACAATGTGCCTGTGAGTAACGCATCGGCCACAACCAGGCAGCACAGAAAGCAGTGCCCTCGCTTTCCGAGGCCCCAGCCGTATCCAGGATGGGGTTTCCCTCTGATCTGCCGCGTCGAACTCTGTCGCCACTACGACATGGGCCCCACCACGCCGTAACGTACCGTGTCGCCTCGAGCCAGCCTTCATGTCGCGGGGGACTTTGGAACCACTGCGGCCTCATCGCCACGACGCCCGCGGGTCAGTCAGCACGTCAGGTGCGTACCGTACGCAACGCACGGACCTCAGCCAGTTCAGAAAGCAAAGAGGTGGAGCGTCGCACGGGCCAGCGGCGCTTGGCGCCCTCGCTCTTCTGCTGCACTGTGTTCCGCCATTTCTTCCATCGCAGCGCCTCGCTCTGGTCGAGAGAAGATCACGGGTTGGACCAGCACCAACCCATTCGGTTTACAGAAGAGGTTGCCGGCCGGGATCGCTGGAACGAACCGTCGTCGAAAGGGCTGCAGCAGAAGTCGCTACTGGACCGCGGTCTCCGTGAGTGGCAACGCCGAATCTGATGCGTGGGAGCAGTACGGTCGCGGCAGCTTTCTACGTTTCTTATCTTCACGCTGACGACCTGAATTTCGAAAGGTCATTCCTCGTGCCCCGCTTGCCTGTCACATCGTGAGAAGGAGCGAACGAGTTTCGAGCATTTAGGCGGGTTTTCTTTTTCGTATCCTCGCGTCGTGGAGTATGAGGCACACACTTCGGGGCCGCAACAGCGCGATCGATCGTTTAGGGGGGGGGTGAGACGCAGTCGATTGAGGTTTACGCCGGTCGCGGTCGTCACAACCGACCACGTTGAAGCCTGTTCGTTCGAAGAAGGAAGAAACAGTGTATGTTGAAGTGGCCACGATGTGGCTCCCGGGTAAGTGCGATTGTCACAGCCCTTCCGTCGCGCGAGGTCGGCGTTCGGCGTGCTAACTTCGCAGGCTTTGCTGTTTCTTTCTAGTAATAACATCCGTCCTCTCGCTTGACCCCAAGAAGCCAGCAGAGCGCATCCAGGCGTTTCACTCGGATAGGCCTATGCGCGGCCCGCGTAGCTGCTGCGTGTTGTCTCTTCTTTTTGACCGCGCGCCACCGCCTTTTCAGCTGCTTGAGAGCGCTTCGAACGCCCGAAGCGCCCGCCGGAGCTAACGAGCCGCGTAGGACGATGCAGCATGGAACGTAAGAGACACGAGACGAAATAGACTGGTCCAGCCTGCATGTACTGCGTGTCCCAGACACGATACAGAGTGGCCACGACGACGAAGTCGGTCCATCGTGGTTAGCACAGGTCCCTTTGCATGCGACACGATCCCCACTTACGCCCGCTTGCCCGCCCGCCTGCGCAGGGAAACCACACGTGCGGCTGCCGAGCCTCTACGTGCAACTTTACGGAGCCGCAGAGAATCCGTTGTTGAAGCGTGCCGTCCGGACGTGTGAATGCATTGGCGTCGACCAGTTGACACTGGAAGTTGGTCGTCTGCGGGGTAAGCGCGTAGCCCTACCCGCGATGACGCGCGTGGCCAGTAGATCCATTGCCGCCCAGATAGACAGACGCTCACTTTACAGTGGAGGGGGACGCACGGTGTACCTCCTCGTGTACCCATGACGTCGCCCGCCACGTCGCTCGAGTTGTGCGGCTTCAGCGCCGCTCGTGGCTGTTTTCTGCTGGCGCCAGCGCACTCGGACTGCTCCCGCGCCAACCAAAGCCTGTGCGCGCCATGTGCAACGACGAGTCACCTCCTCGCGCGCGAGTTCGTGGACTTGCAGAGCTGGGACCGCCTCTTGCGTCGCGCGTCCACGTGCCAGCGGCTGCCGACCAAGCGGTTGCGCAAACTCATGGCGACCGACTGGCGTCGAGGCGACGGAGCGGCAGGATGGCAACGCGAGATGCAAAAGAACGTGCGTGCGTGCGAAGACTGGCTCAATGCTGCGTTCAGACAGCTACCGATGCGACAGCAGCACGAGTTCCTGGACGATGAGCTGTACGCTGCAATGAAGCGCCAACGCGCCGCTGCTCTTGCGGACAGCAAACGTGCACGAAACTTGCAGCAGTACTTTAGCAGCGCGGAGATGGTACAGCTCGTGGTGGCGAGCGTGCTCGAATACGTAGCTGTGCGAGCGGTGGCGTGGCTCGAGCCGTCCTGTGGCGATGGTCGGTTCCTCACGGCGCTATTGCGAGCGGGCGCGCAGCATGTTGTGGGCTACGAGATCGACCAAAGGCTGCAGAGCCTTGCCGAGCGAAACGTGCAGCGAGCAGCGGTGGACGTTGCGGGTATCTCCATGACTTGTTCGGGTGAAGGTAGCAGCCGTGTACACGCACAAGTCTGTCTGGGCGACTTCCTCACTTCAAAGAGCTGTGTACCTGCAGATAACTTCGTGGTCGCAATTGGTAACCCGCCGTTCGGTGCAAGAGGCGAGAGCAGGAACGACCTCGTGCACGACTTCTTCCGTCATGCTGCAAGTGCGTGGCGAGCTCGTGTCATAGCGTTCATCGTACCAGAGAGGTGCAGCCGACCACTGTTTGTCGAGCAGACATTGCAGAAGCTCAACAGCGAGCGGGTCGACAGTAACGCGGCGACGGCATTATCCTGCTGGATCTTGGCAATGGAGCTGCCGCTTACCGACTACGAGTTTGAGTTTGGAGCTCACGACGTACCCAAGCGTGTCCGACAGCCGAGTCTGCTGCAGCTATTCACTTGCGCGAGATAAGGGCAATAGGAAGGAAGCAGCGACGAGTGTCTGCGTACTATGGAGCAGTGCAGTGAGTGGTTCAACACTTGACTGTCATGTCGTCGTCGTCGTTTCTCCCCTTCCCGTTGGACGGTCGAAGAGCTCACTTTCGATGTGCGTGCGTACTCTCAGCAAAGCTCCGCTGTGACACACGTCGCGGTTATACGTATACCAACTATCTGTCTTTTATCGCAGCCGCAGTCGCTGAGTTTTCCGAATCGCAAGTCGCTCCTTTCAAGATATTCGGTCGTGCCATCGCAATGCAAACGATCGACCAAACTGGGTCTTTTCTGCAAAAAGGGTTCTTGCGTCAGAATTGAAACGTAGCTCGGCAGCTCATGAGCAGCCGCGAGGGCGAGTGGACGCGCGTGAAAGACGCGCACGGGCGCTACTTCTACGTGAACCACGTGACACGTGAGGTGCGTCTCTCTGTGTTGCACAGCTCTGTATCTTTCTTTCTTTCTTGCTCTCGATGCAGAACGCTGCATTGCCGTTGACGACGACAGCTCGCAGGCTGTTGACCCATTTCTTACCACTCTTTGTGTTCCATGTACCCATGTGGTGGCGATTGACCCAATCATAGACCTCATGGCACCTGCCGACCGAAGATCCGCTGCCGTCCGGCTGGGAAGAGCTCATTGATGGCCAGGGTCGCGTATACTTTGTAGACCACAGCACGCGCACGACCACTTGGATGGATCCGCGTGTAGCGGTCGCTAGACGCCGCGCGAGAGTTCAGTCGGGAGCATCAGGTCGACCACTGCCCCATAAAGTCACTCCATCGGTCGGCACTGATATTGCAGCGACAGAGAAGGACTGCTCGCCAACTTATGAGGACCCACGACGGGCTTCTGGAGGTAGCGCTAGCGGTAGTGGCGCTGCGAGCAATGGACATGCACGCACGAGCTGCAAAAGCAGCGACATTAACTTGTCCATCGGATCTCCTACGTCTTCTGCGGTGTCTGGGGACACAAAGGATCAAGTCAGTCGGACAAGCACGTCGACGATGCTGGAGAGATATTTGGACGATACAAATTTGGACACCACAGCGGTGATGCAGACTGCTGCATCTGCAGCTGTGCGTGCCGATGTAGAGAAGCAGCTTCCAGCAGTTTCGAAGGACCAGTCCGAGAATGCGCTCGACAGGCTTGAGAGCTATGATGAAGACATAGGAGATGTTGCAGATACGTTGCTGCACAAGACTGAGGACGTGGATGAGGAAGAACCGATTACGAATGCACAGTTGGAGAGAAAGGTATCGTTGTTAGCGGGGAGCAAGGCCGAACAAGACATGCTAAACGAGGAGATTGGTACGCCACCGCGGTCAAGCATCTCGGACATGTCCAATGTGGGGCGGGGTAGCAGCTTTACCACAGGCGACGTTCATGTGGTATTGCAACGCTACTTTGCACCGATTTTCGTGCGAGACGATGACTCGCCGACGTGCCGGCACTGTGGCGCACGGTTTGGCACCTTCAAACGGCGTCACCATTGCCGCCTCTGCGGCGACGTGTACTGCGCGGACTGCACGACAAACAAGGTGAAGCTTCCGATCGAGGCCGCAACTTACGACAAGGAGCAACCTGTGTGCACGCGGTGCTTCCGGAACGCGGAAGCTGGTGATTTCTTTAGTATTGTGGGATTGCGCCGCAAAGTAGACGATCCTACCTCGACGGTCGACGACAAGGTAGAACAAATCATGCAGCTTGCAGTGGCGCTATCTTCTGGGCGACCAGAGATAGACGGAAACATGGGACTGCATCGCGTTGCCCAGCTCAACGATGTGGAGGCAGCTGGCGGCGTATCATCGTTTTGTCAGTTGTTGAATACTGATGTAGAGCCTCTGCAGCAAGCTGCGTTGGAGATGCTGGCGAATCTCGTCGAGCTTGAGAATAGTGCTGGCAATGAGATTTCCACTGGCGAGGCTTTCGCGCAGTCAGGAGCGTGTGTGCATCTGGTAAAAGTAATGGGAAGCCGAGTGACGGAACAGCAGCTGGGTCACAGCGCGCACCAGGAGGTGGAACGTATGGCTCTTCGTCTTGTTTACCACATTTGTCAGTCGGCTGCATGCCAGGCTGCACTGCGCAAGGCTGGTGGGGGCACACGTTTGCTGGAGTTTCTTTCGGTTGACTCGCCGTCGTCGCTGGAAATGCGAGTAGAAGCAGCGCGCTGTTTAAGGCGTTTTGTGCAGAAAGATGCTGCGAACATCACGGAAATGATCCAAAACAAGGGCGTGGCAGCTTTGTGTACATTGCTGGGAGATTTCTTGGAGCTACGCACAGATAGCACTCTTGGCAACAGTGGCCTTGACGACGAGTCGCACAAAGTTGCTATTGAGGCCATTTTGAGCACGATTTGCGAATGCATCTACTTTGTAGACGGCGGCGCTTCGCAAGTGCAACGCGGTGTGCAGCAGATCCCTGCCGATAGCATCCACTCATTTGTTTCTGTCTTGCAGAGAGGCGACCGCGTGAACCGCTTGCTCGTGTCGCAAGTTCTGATTCAGGTGTCAAAGGATCCATCATTGGTCACCGTACTGTCGAAGGAGAAGAACTTCATTGAGGAGATTATGTGGATGCTAGGCAGCGATGAAGACTACACTGTCGCGTCAGAGATTTTGTGTGGGCTTTGCTCAACGACACCCAAGCAGTCTTTCAGTGACGATGGTGTCAATGAAAGGATTGACGACATACACGAACAGATACTGCAGGTTATTTACGACCTGGGGGCGTTCGATCTGGTGCTGAAGAAGCTGAACGCGTGCGTGGTTGGTGAGAAGCAGCTCGTGGGTGAGATCACGTTTCAAAAAAACTTGCTTGGGATCACCATGAGTTATAGTGCTGCGTCGGCGGTATACGTGGACTACATCTGCTCGCGTAAATGCGTGCCCACGCTGTCCGTTTTCTTGCTTTCACGCAAAGAACGTCTGATCCCATTGTGCGCACAGATTTTGATGAACCTTTGCGAGTCCAACCCTAGCATCTTTGACGAGCTCTATGATCGAAACGTGTCCGACTTTTTCCACCGATTACTGCAAACGCCTCCTGACGAAAACCGGTTGTCAGCTCTTCGTTATTTCCGAGCCCTCGTTAATAACAAGCGTCCATTTGCGGTAGGGGTACTCGACACGCTTTTCCTCATGGCGTCCGGGCGAGACGAAACGCTGCAAAGAGGTAGTTTGGACGTGCTTGCCCGGTTGAGCGGCGTACAGTCAATTACCGCGGTGCTGGATCCTCTGGATGATCCTTTGACCCCCGAGGTTGATGTGATGGTGCAGAAGCTTCAGGAGTGTGTTGTCAGTGTGGCGTATTTCCCTGTGTTGATGACAATTGCGTGCTCTTCAGGCGATAGCGATATGCGCAGCGACGCGATCAGATGCCTCACCTGTGCGGCTAGTGGCGGTGGGGAGCTTGTCGCCCGTATGCTTGATCAAGAAATGCTTCGTGCGTTCTGGACGGGACTGCGTCGGTGGATGGACGTACTTGCAGCTGCACTAACCCCTCTGGAGATGCAGTTGAACAAGGCGCTCTTGCAGCTCTTGTACACAATGCTGAAAACTGCGTCTTCACGTATTGCTCGTATGGGAAAGGACCAGATAACGAGTCTTGTGACTGTCGTGACGGCATTTGTCGTTTCGCAGCCTAGTCAAATAGTCATGGGCGTCCGTATCATCCGTCTCCTCATTGAGTGCGACGTCTGGAAAGACTCGTTTGTGGCGTTATACGCCGTCGAATCGACCAAGACCGGGCCGGAATTTTTGCGAGCACTGATGAACGGCATCGATGAATCTGCTACCACAGCACAAGAAGGTAGCGAAAACGGTGTGTTTGATGATTCCGTTGTCATTCTAAAGGAACTGATGACGGACTTGCAAGAATTCGGAGAATGCGACGAACAAGACGATGTGATACCGGCAAACAATGCTGTTATTACTCTGGTTACGAACGCCGGCGTTCATACCTTTTTGCTCGAGCAGCTCCGGAAACATAGTGTGCAGGAGAGCATACGAAAGACTGAAGACCAAGAGGAGGTGGTGGATGAGAGGGTAGCTGAGGGAAACCATGAATACGTTTTGACCCATGTTCTTGGGCTTCTGGATCTGCTCGTACGCTCACGCCGTCTGCGTTTGCTCGTTTTAGAAGCCGGTAAAGCACTTGATGCCTTCGTGACTGCGTATGAGGCCACGACATATAATTACGCAGCTTCGTCGCCCACCCGAAAGTTGATCGCGCAGGACCTTGGGCGCATCCTCATTCACTTGTCCAGGGACCCGTTGGAGTTTCGCAAGACATTGTACGACCACCGATCAGTTTTGCCTCGCGCAATAATGAGCAATATTCTTTCTCCTATTGTCGAGGTTGCTGAAACAGCCGAAGAAATCGTGCTCAATCTTGTTGAGTCAGATTTCGCTACTTGCCCGTTGTGGCTTGATCTGATCGAAAAGGCTAACGTGCGCTTGGTGTTCCGTGTCGTGGTGGTGTCAAAGCAACCCTCAGTGCAAGTCACGGCGGCCCGCAAGCTCATTGACATTGTGTTCTCGCACCCCACTATCCTTGACGATGATGAGCTTGGTCTATCAGCAGACGAGAAGATCACGCTGGTCTCAATGTTGATCAGTTTCTTTGTAAATTTCGATCCGCGCACATCCGTGGTAGGCGTCCTTGCTCTGACACTGCTGCTCAAGAATGGCCAACTACTCACTACGGAGCAGATGGAAATAGTTGCTGTAGAGGGCGCTGTGTCTTTGGTTTACTGGATGCAAAAGGGCACGGAACGGCAACAAGAGAATGCCGTGAAGCTTCTGCACGATGGCGTCACGAACCCTGCCATCTTGAACAAGTTTTACGAGCAATTACAAGCCCCTTCGGTCCAACGAGAGACTGCGTTCCTGTTGGAGCTGGGACAACAGCTGCTCGACGTTGAGATCAAGACAAATCCAGATGGACTGTTTAAGCGATGCAGGTTAATGCAAGGGCTTCTTCGAGTCACCGATTTTGATGCGTTGCCGAGCGATTGTGTGGAGATTATTGAGGAGGTGTCTGCATACTTGTTGGATTTAGCAGAAGAAGAAACGAAGGAGCTTGGGCACGGGGACGAGGGCGTAGAAGAGAAGCCGTTGAGGGGAGAGTTTCTGCTGGTTATTACGCGATTTCTGTCCGTGTTGGTCCAGTCAAAGACATTTCACTCTACGCTTGTGCATCAAGGCGCGATTGAAAAGCTGACTTCTATACTTGACAAGCAGAAGGAGGTTGTAGAGCCGTTATCTGAAGTGGTCGGTAACACGCGCCAACTTCTGAGAAAGCTATGCGTGTACGAAGTTCCCCGGCTTGTAGCTTGCAATGGCGTGGATATTCTTCTAGAAACTGTGATGAAGTTTGATGACGATGATACTGAGACAGACTCTGACCGTGTGGCCGAGATGCTGCAGACCTTCAACGCCGTTGTGGAGTGTGGGGCAGCTGGACGAAGTGCTCTGATGAAGACAGAGAACTTCCTCCCTAGTTTGGCGCGCGGCTATAAGATCGTGTGCGGGGACATAAGTGAGCACGAAGCAGCGCTGACAGCAAAATTGCTAGATGCTGGTTCAGGCGGCCGCAACGTGGACTTGGATATTGCGTGTGGTCTTTGTTTGTTAGTCTTCCTTTTTGCTCGTGGAGGCGCTTACCGTGAACAAGTGTTTCAGGAGACTTCGCTTCTGCGGTATATCGTGGCAATCATGGACTGGTTCCCTTCTATCTTTTCGGTCAACGAAGAGCTCGTGACTGCAGAGCTCAAGGCAAAGTTTCGCTTGATCTTTGCGTCTGGGCTTCCCTTTTTGAAAGCAGCTCTTGTGTCTGCCGACCGGTCATTCTTAGAACCGAAAGAGAAGCGGGCGTTTATCAAAACCACGATGAGCGTGTACACCAAGACGCTAACGGCCTTTGTGGATGGTCACCAATCTCCCGAACTCTTCCGTGCTTCATGCGAAGGGCTGACAAGTTTGTTTTATAGCAACAGTACAGTAGTTGTGCTGGCTGATGATGAGCTGAAAGAGCTTGCGACTGTACTGAAGGAGCAGATGTTTCGATCGCTGAAGACGAGCATATACTCGGTAGACTGTGTCGTGGCCCTGTTGGAAGTTGCAGCTGACGTGGTATTCGCTCGGTCTGCGTCAAGTGACGATCAGCTTGTGGAGAAGGAGCCGGCACGAAGCTCATGGCTTGTGGCTGGAGTGCTGCATGCACTTTTCAGCTGGGAATCGTTCGGAGACGACTTGGATGTGTCAATACTGTTTACACTGCTGCAGCGATTTTGCTCATCTGCTGAGATCCGCAACTTTTTGTATGACCATATCGACTACGCCAAGCTGGTGGAGATCATGGTCCTGTTTGCGCAAGACAGCAAGTGGCGACGCTGGCGCAAGTATGTGCTAAACATGCTGACGTTGCTCGGGGAAGAGGATGCGCTAGAACAAGCGACACAGGATGGTTTGTTCGGTCCCTTGCCCATGCTGCAAACCTCGACAGCGGGCTCATCCCGAGGCAACGAGCAGTCCACATGCGCTCTGCGCTGCTTCCACTGCCGCGGAGTGGTGCATGCTCCTGTGCAAACCAATCTATGCGTGCTGCCTTGTCCCCACTGCCAACAGGCAATGGCGGTCGCGTCCGATAGCTCTCCGACGGTAGTCGAGGCGGGTTCTTGCATCATGAAGCGGAGGGCTACCACTAGCGGTAGGGCCCTGTTTAGGGGTTCTTCTGCTGAAGACCACCACTTTGTCTGCGTCAACTGCAGCAATGTGCTAGAGCTTCCGGACGGGCTCGACCCATCGGAGATTGTGTGTCCGCACTGCCTCCAGCTTGCCTCCGTGAAGAAGACTAGCCAGTCGATGACCTCGGCATTGAGCAGCGAGAAGAAGCAATTGCCGGTGTCGTCGGCGCGCTCGACGGAAGCCACAGCGGGTCTGTCGAAGAACCCCTCATCGTCTGGTATCGATGTCCGGGACACTAAGGTCGTGAGCTGTGGCCACTGCGGCAAACACTTGATCGTGAATAATGGCACATCCGCCGTCAAGTGCCCGTCGTGCCATGGAGTGTCCAAGCTGTCGACAACGACGAGTGAGTGTGTTTGAGTATGCGGTGATGTTGAGCGTGTCGTATTCTAACGTATGTACTCGCTCGTTGCGCACCTTAGCTCAAGAGATGATGCGATGCAAGAACTGCAACACGCTGCTGAGCCTGCCCGCGGGTGCTAGAGCGTACAAGTGTATGAAATGCCTGCAGACCACGCGGCTTTCGTAGTGGGTTCAGTCGGACCCAAATGGTTTTGGTGCGAGTGAGGTCAGCGCTCGGTCTTCTCGCTGCAACTGTCGGAGCTTTTCGTATCGAAGAGAAGACCTGCACTGGGCTGGCCCAAGTGTGTAGAAGCAGAGCTGGATCAACGTAAGTTAGATTTTGACATTTGCGTACCGTGTGCGTTTCACTGTTTCGTTGGGTATAATCCATAAATTGTGATCACAGCAGCACGCGGTGTCTTCTTACTTCCTGAGCATCTGACACACGTTTTGCGTTGGAGCTTCCCATGAGCCGGTCCAGCATGAAGGATCGAGGAGACACCGCCTCCACTTTGTTCGCCTATTTGGCGGCTTTCATGTTCGTCTGGGAGCCCCATGTCGTGAGTCAGTGGAAGTCACGGCGCTCGCACGTCGATCGAGTGACAGGGAACTGTTTGCTGCTATCATTGCCGCCGATCAAGTGACAGAGAACTGATCCAACCGAGTCACAAAGTTCAGTGGCTACTGTAGTGTCGACTGTCTCTTGATGTTTGACTGTGCGTCCGGACGCTTGCCCGTGCCCGCGGGGTGCATTGTTTGCGAGAACTGGTACGTTAAACGCGAACAAAGCCTCACGTGTCGTCGTTGCTGAAGTCGACTTTGTACGCGTGCGGCCCAAACGGGCGTAGTTGGGCCTCCTGTTGCGTCGCAGCCTATTGTCTCGAATAGCTCTACGAACTTGCGGTCAATACCGTTCGTACCTCCATCGGTGCTGACCTAACGTGTCCGCATTGTCATGGCCCTTGGCGCTTTACTACTTGCCGCGGTGTAGCTTCTTTAGTCGATGGCCCGTGCCCCACGATGCCCTAAACGACACGCTGAAGCAAGAGCACATGCATTCTGGCGGTAAGGCTTCAGCATACCGAGTCCGACCACGCACGACAAAACCTCGTGCTCAGACCACACGAAAGAATGCGATAAGAGGTCTCTGCTGATACTCGAAGAACGAGAACAAGCTGCAGACAATCTTTTGCGACGTTGTCTCGTGCACTGGTTGCGAACGTACCATATGGCTACACCCCATCACGTCCATGCCACCAAATCTACATCATGATGGCCACGAAACACAGAGTCGAATATATCTGACCGCCTGGATTTGAAGGCACTCGATCTTGTTCGTACAAGAGGCTTTGAGTTGACAAGGCAGGAGTTCTGAAGTGTCACTAAGGATATTTGGTCCCTCGATTTGCGTCAAAAGTCGAGCAATGTGTCTTGTTGGTCGTGCACAATCTCACTTTTGCCGTCTCGTACGACTAGCTTTCTGTACGGTCAAGCCTTGCTCCGTTCTGTACGACTTCGCTCTGAGCAAGAATCTCAGCGACTCGGCTGACCGGCAAAAGTTGCCCACAGTCGAGGTGATACTTTTCTTTTCTTGATCGCAAAACGAGCACGACCCATTTCGTTGCATTCACACTCCAGAAGGAGCAGCGACTTTGCGACATCTTTTGCTGTAGCGGTATCGGGGTCAGCCAGCACACGATGAAAGTAGCCCCATTTCTCACCCCTTGACCGTTTCGTGGTAAAGACCATCATCTCATCATCACTGTGCGGTCGTCACCAGTACCCTGGATCCACCACTTTCTTGACTCAATCGTGTTACGATATCGTGAAACCGGCAAAAGCCGCGGTAAAAACCACTCCGAACTCGGCCGTTGCTTCATTTTCGACGCTGGTACACATGCAGACGGATTCTCTGCGGTGAGTGCTTGTCATTTTTGATCAACAAGAGCTCGAGTAACGTGTTTCTGAGCGACAGAGAGCACTATCAGCCAACCTTCAGCGAGTGCCTGATTTTGAATGAAGAGCTTAAGTCATTGACAGGTTTCGGCTGTCTCTCACAAAGTGCTTCGGTCTCTCGTTTTGTGTCGGGTGCGTGAAGGGCCGACACTGCACATCGCAATATGTTATTGAGGTCTCACCGAAAACACGCACGAAACCCACCAAAGATCTGTGTTGATCGTCGTCATGAATGCACGCTGCGCGCATAGAGCTTTTGGAAGACAGTGTACTATTTCTCGACGATCTCTTCTATTCCATAGGAATCCGAGAAGTCAGGATACGGTCACGTGGTACGAGATCTAGAACATCAGGTTGCCTGGCACACGTTGCGTAGCGTCGTGAGGCGCTAGAGTACGCTCGCTCGTCGTGTGGCTTTTGCAGGACAGCGACATAGCGAAAGCCATCGCGAGGTGATCTATGACCTCAAACGTACGATCTCATCCAAGTTTGACCGCATATACGTACACAGCGAAGATGATTCGACCGCGCTATTCGCTCGAAGCATCAGTAGTTATTTGCAACGAGTGAGTCACCGCAAATGCCTCATCAGCCGCACTCGGATTACGAACTCTGACCGCTGCGCATACGCATGTCCAGTGGATCCTTCGTGGCAAACTGCTTAGTTCTATCGAGTCACACGCACACAACCTGCGTGTCGTCTCACAAGGTTCTAGAGAAGATAACGTGGAACAAATGTGACAGCTCATTCGTCATGTTTTCCGGTAGTTCGATGCTGCTGCTAACAAACGCGGTGCACGACGTGACTGGATTGTCCTGGACTTTCAGTGCATGGCGGAATTGTAGCACATCGGTTGCACTCTGCTACCTCTCCTGCGAGCATAGTGAACTAATCGCAAACCATCGTTCCAAAATGCAGAGGGATCGTTTCAGACAAAATCCATCGAGGTGTTCAGCTTTGACGGGAAGTGCCAACATAACCGGGAACGCAGTCAAGAATCTTGTACAGAACTGGCCGTAATAGTCGACGGACCTTGTCTGATAGAGTGGAGTAGAAGACCCAGCCACAACTTACCGGGTCGCACACGAGCAGTTTCTTCAAGGATGCATAGGTGCTTGATACAAAATGGTAGAGGGTCCGTTCACTCGGGAGAGTATAGTTGGATAAGTGATAACTCAAGACCGTCGTGGCAGGGATCGTGCGTGCTCGACAGCAGCAAAAAAGTGTCACGTTGTATCCGATCTGTGGTACTTTGGCAAGCACCATCTCTACCTCTGCAGCGAGTACATCATGCAACCATCAATATGAAGTGGTCCGACCGAGGGCTCGCATTCTCTTTCCTGCGCATTACGACGTCGCCCGTCATTCCTCGAATCTCTACCAGGACTGCCAACATCTGCACTCGTTGCCCCCGAGCCTGATCGTACATGCAACAAAGACGCGACGGCTACAAAGTTACTAGACGCCGACATTTTTTCCATACTGCAGCAAGCACAGCTGGTCTCTCTGTGAGCGGTACGAAGATGTGTAGCCGCGAGTGAAATCTCTTGCACCAAAGAAGTATCTTTCGACTCCATTTTCGCGAGTTCATGCAGTTGTTGGGGGCACATGCGATTTCAAATGTCCGACGAGTCCTCTTACGATCCTCAATCCCCTTGGCGCTCGAGTCCAGAAACATGTCTGACAAATGCATGAACTTGCCAACGATACACACGGAGAGAGCCGTTGTCACCGTAGAAGAGGCCCAATTTTAGTCAAGTAGCGGCCGGACAGGATGCACGACAGCCACCGCTACTTCGTGTGATCAGCGCATGATTAAGCGTGTTTTGCAAACTGAAGCACCATCTTTTAGCAGAAACAGAGTCAAGGCTAGGAGCGCAAGTCCGACCACGCCCGGTCGTGGAAGCGTCTGCCAAGCGAACATCATCTTAACTAGCACCTACCAAACAGCCCAGTCATTACATGATAGTCTCAACTACACACCTGCCGAACCATGCAACTGCAGCTGCACAGTGAAAACACACTTCCTATGCTAAGTCAACACGCGCCGTCCTTGAGTAAACCATGCGGTTTTCTTCACGACCACGATGCGAAACACCTGGCTTGCGTAGCAATCCTTTTTTAGGGAGAACAATGTCAGAGTAGACATCAAGCTGGCCACTTGGCACGCGCACCGAGACTGCATCGTCAATCCGCAGACACTCTTGCGGAAAAAAATGTAACAACGACTGATTGAGTTTGCGTGACTTCTACATCCTGTGGCTCTGACGTCCAGTTCGTCAGCAGTCTCTTCCTTCTAGAAGTCAAACAGTGCAGCTTAGCTGCGCCCTTGGCACCGAATAGACTTTCTGACGCCATGACAATCGGTTTGATTGTCGTGCTTTTCTGCTCATGAAGCGGTCCTGCTCCTCACACGTACCTCTTTTTCCAACGCATTTCCCAAGTTGCCACCTTCCGAGATGACAAACAACAAAATCGAGATCCCTGTCGTCTCCATGATCCCCGGCATCGGTCGAGCTGTGCGCGAACAACTGTCTTCTCCAACGGCTTCGTCCCTCGCAGCCAAACTGTACCAGTCTTCCAAGCTCGAGATCGTCGACCTGCCTATGCCAGTTGTCTGTCCCCCCAACGCTCAGCCCAAGGGGTCGTCTAGTAAAGGCCCCGCAACGACCACCCAGTGGATGCTCGACCCTGACCAGCAGCAAGTCCTGTTCGACGCTGAAGCACTGTTGATGGACGCCCACGTGGCCGCGCCACTGTTGCTCGCCCCCAAGACGAACCTACCGTTCGAGCTGCAGCACTTGCTGAAGAAGGTGCGATGGGTGCAAGGCACGTACGCCGGCGTGGACTCCTATCTTCAGTACCCCGATGCGCCAGTGCACCCAGGATTCACTGTCTCACGAGCAGGCGGGGTCATGCCCACCGCGCTGGCCCAATTTGTTTTCGGCTACGTCGTTGCGATTGAGCGCAAGTTCTTTGAGGCGAAGAAGTACCAAGATCTGCGCGTATTTGGTCGATGGGAGCTGAAGTACCGCTCGTACCGTAACCTGACGATTGGTGTCCTTGGTCTCGGTGAAGTCGGGCAGGAGATCGGACGCATGTTCAAGGCGTCAGAATTCCGGGTGGTAGGGTTCAAGCGTCGTATCCGGAACGGAGATAAAAAGATGCTGGGTTCAAGTGTTGACACCGTGACGACGGATCTGAGTGAGGTGCTCAAGCAGAGCGACTATGTGGTAAATGCGCTGCCTAGCACAAACGCAACCCGGTACTTGCTGACCGAACAAGTGCTTGCGGTTTGCCATGAGAAGAAGCCGGTGTTCGTCAATGTGGGTCGTGGCGACGTCATTTCGGAAAACACGATCCTTGCCGCTCTTGCCAAGGGCTTGTTTTCGAAAGCCGTGCTGGATGTGTTCGAGGAGGAACCGCTACCGAAGGAGAGCCCGTTGTGGTCGCACCCAGGGGTGATTGTAACGCCTCACATTGCAGGAACGGTTTTTCCAGAGGACGTTGCGGCGGTGTTCGTGAGGAACCTCAATCTCTGGCTGAAAGGGCAACCTGTTCTGCACCAAATGGATTGGTCAAGCGGTTACTAAGCTACTCTGCTGGTGTGCGCTTTGCTTCGTGGAAAAGTGTAGGGAATACTAGCCTTTTTGTCGTACGTGTGTTGGGTAGTGAGCATCGTTTTGCAAATTTGGTCGTTGTGTTACTCAAAGTAAGAGAAACGCTGTGAGCAAATCAAAGAATCTTCTGTCGCTGATGTGTTTTACTTCGACATCTTGAACTACGACACGAAGAGCGATCCTGAATGATATGCTGAAATATCTTATCCTTTTTCGAAACGCTTACGCCACTTGACTAAGCCCCTACGTTGCTAGCTTGAGGCCGTGAGCTTTCGTTCGTTGAACCGGAGGATAAAGAAGATTTGCAGGAAGACCAATCGACTCCAATGTTGTTCGATGCTTGCCATATCTCCGTCTGTGTTCTGAGTCGGACATGGTGGAGTAGCAGACTGGACCAAATGCGAGGGCTTTCCGACCAAAATGAATTTACTATCGGGATCGAAGAGACTGATACAACTTGTAAGAAATTCAGGCTTCATCATATTATTACAGATACATCTGCCATCAATACCGATAAACCTGTCAAATCGGATATAGCTCGTGGACATGTGACGCAATGTATAAGACGACTCAATGCTCGAAAGCTGTCGACTTTATTTAGTTACCCTCGCTTCTTGCACACCTACTCGATCATTAATTTGTGGACGGAAACCATCCCAGCCCGATCCCAATCACAAGCACTTAAGTAATGTACAATATGAACACCACTGCGATGCCATAACGACCAAAAGCAACTGGTCCACTGACGTTTAGCGGAAGAAGACGATCTGTCTGTTAAACGATAGCAATGACGATCATGCGTAACTTGCGTGCGACAAGGGCAATGCAAAATATCAACCATACCGAGACACCGGTCCAGCGGACAATATACAGAATATTGCGTGATTGAAAATGGTACCTTCTAGTGAATGAAGCTGACCTCAAGTTCGAGGGAACTTGACCGATCAGCTTTCCAACTGTCTATGAAGAGCTCTCCAACTGGGTGCTAAAGTGTCAATCGTAACGTATTATACTGAGTGAATATTGATCAAGGCGAAAGCAAAGCGTTGTGGAGCGCTAAGCGTTTCCAGGACGACCAGCTACTGTCATTTTCTAATGGCTAGATCCAGACCTTCCTGAAATACCACGGCTTGTATCAGATGAGCGCCCACACTAAAAGCAGACCTGTGAAGGCTGTGTCCATACGTGCGTAGCCCGATATGATTGAGAACGCTGGAAAGGCTATAGCTAACTGATACCTACAACATGGATGAATCAGGACTATCTGACCGCCTCGCGTTCGACAAGACAATCGATCGGCGTCCAGTGGAAGGATCGATAAAGAGCAGTACACGCGTGATTATTGCTCCCATTATCAACGTAGATGCCTCGACATTTTCTACCGGTTCATGATTTGGCATGCAAAAAAATGGTTGCTTTGAAAGAATAGTGGCGATCAATGAGGTTCCTACTATCAAAAGTATATCAACGTGTAATATAAAAGCGTTCTGTTTCATGAGTAATTACGTGAACTAAACGCATACATGCGTCTTCAATGACGCAGCGTTGTGCTCATCATTGAGCCTGCATGAGCGCACAAATTGCACAGTAACGAACTGCAGAGCATACTCATTGGTTTCCTATCTCAACTCGACATCAAAGGACACCGGGATCATCGTCACGAAATAGTCAACATCATCATCGAAAGCTTCGAAACCTAGATTGATCGAAACCGGGAAAGGATCTTAATTCAACACCCACATGATTGATCATCTCACATCGATGAGGTCGATCAGATCGTGCAAGCAAGAAGTTCCGAGCGAGGGCATCCCACCACGTTTCCTGTACACCGGGATAGTATTTGGTCGTATTACTACCGCAGACCGCACCTCGACGCCGACGAACAGCCGGACATCAGTCTACTGTCACAGATAGATCACCTGTGCACACGCTATGACCTTGAGAGGCCTCGTTTGCTTTTCGAGAGAGGTTGGAACAGAGACGGAAGAAGAAGTATTTACCACTTAATGTTGCGTTTCTGAACACAGACAGGAAATATGACAACAGCGATGACAAGGAACATGTAGAACCTGCAGCCATGTCTGAAGGTGTCTCCAATGCTTATTGAGGGATCAATATTGAAGGTAAGGTTGGCCGGTACGAGGGCTCATATTTTAAAAATAGACGACAATCAAGATTCAGAAAACCCTGTATGGTACATGCTTCAGATACAACAGCGTCAACGGGAGAACCTGGCAGTGCAGAAGAAGAGTGGACTCATTATTTGAGTCGACACGCACCTTCTTCTCTGTTCAGTAAACGATACAATATTAACACAAATCGGGTATAACCTTCTAAAGTACCTTCCCTGTAAAGGGGTTGCCGGTTACATGAAATTGTCATGAAGGATAACATAACAATAAAAAACATTACGTTGAATATTCTTTCAACAATATCACAGAGCGTGATGGTATTGTTGGGACGACCGAAGGGTCTTCTCATTGGTTGATATCGTGATGATATCAACCCACCAATCGCTGCTAGACGCGCGCAATGGGTGGTGAGTAGACGTCATCATACGTTTAGTTATAGTAGCATAATAAAGTCAGGACAAACAGAGACACAAGAGTTATAGGACTTAATTGTGTTAAATAACAGTTTTACTTTTACCAGAGACTAGAGTGTGAACTCAGTCGTTCTATATTCCTCTGTGTAGTTCTACACTTGGCAGGGCACTGACTTTCACTGCAGTCAGTGATAGTAAACTCCGTACTGGTTGAACAGTACGTAGTCATCGGTGCCCCGTTACATTCCCCTTGTGGCTGCACGTAGTCGTTCTAATCCAGATCAGTAGCAGAACAGTCGATCCCCTGCTACTTCCACAAGACAAGCTCGAGTCGCCATCAATGGAACAACGTCAGCGTTTTGAATGGGGTGCTGTATCAAAGTGGGTACACGCACCTTCGATCGTTTCATCTTAGAAGCCAGCTTTTGCACAAATATGACAAAGTTTATCGTCTTTGGCCTTTGCTCAGAAATGTACCAGTCGCCGGGTGTAATCGCATTTGATCTATTGTTAACCGTTATGGGCCTAAACGTTGAGACTTTTCATCCTTCTTCATGCCTCCTTGCCGAAGATCTCGGATATAGCCGACACGAGATATATCAATACCAACGTACAATAGCATGCTATTCGCAAAGCGATTATATCCAGAATTAAATCAACGACTTACATCATTTGCACTGCCCACAATCGCGTAAGCTAGAAAGTGTTGTTAATGCGGCCAATTCCGTATTCTTTTAGTTTGCCCTTACAAGCCTATCAGAAAAAGACATTGGAGAGGAAAATCCATACAGGCACATCGAAAGAATGCATTCCAATAAGATCACTTGATCAGCTTCCTGTTGTCGTGTAAAACGAGAATCTATTTATACGTTCCTCCAGTTCGACCGAGAACCTATTTATACGTTCTTCTAGTTTGACCGTTTTGCGGTGATGTGGTGTAACGTCATCCTCATTGTATGAAATGTCTTGGACGCAGCATTCTTGATGAGCAGGAATAAAATAGATAATTTGTCTTCTTTGGACACGGCGCATAACTCTTTAATATTAACCCATATACCATAAAGAATCTAACGTATACAACAGATGTAGAATCTCTCGGTCACAAAAGCCTTCTTCGTAATGGTCGAAGTTTGGCATGCCAACTACCCCGTCTTCATCAAAACGTTCACTAGCAAATTCATACTGCTTTTAGCTGGGAACGAAGGATGTCTTAAGCAGATGTGACCGGCTTGTCTTTGTCTGTATCAATTCCAAAGCACCAACAATATTTTCTATACCGTCACGTCTGTCAATGTCAGTGCAACCGTTGATGCTAACCAAATGATTGTGTTCTAGATTCCCGCTACATCTGCGCTTTTATCGACCCACTACACCACTGTTGTCCGTATTATGTATGATGAAGTTGCAATCAAACAGAGGTGATTATATATATCCATGAGTTATCGATACCGGCTCCTCCAGCTTGGATGCTTACATGCGTACCCTTACAGCAACCTGGTGTATGCGTCAGCATCGACAACGTTTACGCAATCGATAGGTCCCGTGTTCTCACGGGTAATCATCCAGTAGCATAAAATTTGCGATTCTGTATCGGTATCTGTATCGAACTCACCCACGCGGTCCAACATCTCGTCTCCACGACCCATTGTGCGCACAACAACTCGGCGATCACTGAAATGGTAGCCAATAGCAGTCGAAGCGCCGCTACTTTCACGCGTCTCCCTCTTCGGTCCCACACTTTCTACTCAATCAACTGATGAAACGAGCTAATGGTCTGATGATCTTCTTTATACAGGGTCGTATTTTCGACATGAAAGCAAAGCCAAAAATCACGGCAAAGCTTAATTACGAATAATCTTACCGATCATTAATTTTGCACCATACGCTCGAACAGAATTGAAGTCATTGGATTATCAACCAATCATATATCAATAACTTTAATTTATACCAGTCATTCGAATTAGCTAGCTTTGTCTCTATTCAGATGACAAATTTATATGTATGTCTCCTCTTGTAAACTATGACGACATTGTCCTTATGAATCGGTGTAGTAATGGAGATGACAAACACTGCAAAAAATGGAGAAGTAGTGATGATTCTAAGATCAGTGGATAGCTTATGCATGATAATGCTAGTCAAGAAGGGTACGGCATTGGCATTGTACTGTATCTTCCTAAGTCTTGCGATTGTGTAGAGCAAAATGATATCGTTCTTGCTCGGGCAGCAATTTACTAGTTGTCCGATGCATCAAGTAATTATATAAAGATGTATGCATGAAAGGGATTGCCACCATTAGTAGATCGAACCGCAAACATGTGAAAATGTTATACGCATGTAGAGTTTTATGAGCTGTTTTCCAAGTAACATATGATGGTGGCAGTATGCACACTACTAGGTTACATTGCGGAGTAAACACGTTTACATGACA